CCTCTGAATAAGGACAACCAGTCTAAAACCAATGTTCTTAAATAAAGATGGAGGTTCTCAGGAGCTATTATTCATTGGTAAATGTTTAATCAAATATCAATTAAATAATTTAAATAATTATATAATTAATATACAATTAGGCAGTATAGTGGCACAGTTGGTAGAGCAACATATTGCCTCTATGGAATAAGATTGATAGATCAACTTCTGTGTTTACATGTTCTCCCTGTGCAGGAGTGGGTTTTCTCCAGGTACTCCAGTTTTCTCTCACAGACCAAAATCGTATTTATTATATGACATAAAAATCAAATAACTTAATATTTTGGGATAACACTACAGTAGATGTAATTTGTCATTTTGCTTGTTTTAGTCTTTATTTCCAGTTTTGTGTTTTTATAATTACAAGTTTTCTTGGGGCGGCTGTGACAGAGTGGTTAGGGGAGTCATCCTGGAACCAGAAGGTCACCGGCTCGATCCCCCGTCCAGCTGTCTCGGTTGTTGTGTCCTTGGGCAAGATACTTAACCCCAATGCCTCTGATGTGTGTCCCATCAGTGTATGAATGTGATTGGCACTGATAGGTCTCCATAGTTGATTGTACATGTTAGCTTTGTAGGAGATCTGGTAGAGTGTAAATGGGTAAATGAGGGCACAGGTTGTAGTGTGAAGCACTTTGAGTGTCCTAGTTGGGTAGAAAGGAGCTATATAAGTACAGTCCATTTACCATTTACATTACCATTTACCATTCTTCACAAAAGTAAACATCAACAAGCAAATAAAACTTTTATCATACATAGAAAAGGTGATTGGCTTTAAAATTTAAAAAGCTTGTTCCTTGTAAAAGTCTTTAAAGTATATATATTGACATTTTAAAATAAAATGACAAACATCACAGCAGTCATTTTTTAAGGGATGTTTCCCCATCACATTTAAAATTTAATTAATTTGAACCTCCACATTTACCATAAAATATTACTTCACTCAGTGCTGTTTCATTCCAATTTCATTCCACTTGATTTATAGCAGTGTTTCCCAAAGTTGGGAATGGGACCCAAAGTGGGGTCCTGAAAAATCAAGGTGGGGTCCTGAAAAGATTTTTGGAATTAATTACATTTTTGCCTTAGTTGTTACAAAGGAGTGAGGTTAGTGTATTTAAAATGGATAAATGTGGTATAGAAAATATTACTATTAATATTAACTATTGTTTAGTTGACCTGATACAAATGTTTATCATACAAAAATAGTTGTGGGCACAGGTCTCTGCTACTGTTATTTTGTGGGTCAAAAGCTGAAAATTTTGGGAACCACTGCACTTTGGTTCCCAAATTTGGACTTGGGACCCAATTATGGGTCATGAAGCACTTTGGATAATCTCCAGAAATCAATTTAAAGGGCAATAAAATAATTACTGATATAATATTTCCCCCCTAACTACTACAAAAACACAAAATAAGTAAGAATAAATATTTATATTTGTGTACACGCTGTTTAGATTGTCAAAAAGCCTGTGTTTTTAGGGATATTAACAAAGTTTGTGTACTCAGACCAGTAATATTTGGGGTCACAAGTTTTTGCCGTGGATATTTTGTGGGTCAGAAGATAAAAAGTTTGGGAACCACTGATTTATAGAATAGTCACAAGTGTTTTCCTATGTATTGTTGTTTCTCAAAAGTCTGTTTAACAACTTGTTAAACTCCAGAACGCAGGAAATGGCATTTACTTATTTCAAAAATTTCTGGGGGAGGACCCCCAGACCCCCCGCCAGTGGGTCCCCCAAACAATGCAAATACTTCTGATGCCACTGAAATATGTAAGAATGTAAGGACAATTTATGGTCCTCCATGTGTGAAGATGCAAGACAAGTTAGAAAATGACTGCTGAGGAAGTGCAGATAGTTTGGATTCTTGTTTTTGGTCTCTGAACGACACAAAATAAGTAATATTATCCGTAAAAATTACAAATTAAACATCTGTTGGCAAATCCATAGCTTTATATTGCCGTATTTTTGAAATTATCAATTTTACAACACATCATAACAATTCTGTTATGGATATTAGTTTTGGTGCCCCCAACCCCCCACTGAAAATAAATTCTGCAGGTGCCACTGCTTGCAGGGAAGTGTTAGCAGTGTTAGCAGTGTTAGCAGTGTTAGCAGTCGAACACCAACAGCAAAGGCTGTGTTCCAAACTGAAAAACTTATACACTTCAACATTTAACCACAACATTTACGATTTAACTTTTACATTTAGGATTTGTCATATACACATATTATTTAACATTTAAATTTAAAATTTGGTTAAAAATTGCTAAGAATAGTGAGGTAAATAATATGTTGGTGTAATTTTTAACCAGAATTTTACACTCAGAGAGTGAGCTAAATAATTAAAACGTGTCAGTGACATTTTGCTATCGAAAAACGTAATGATTAAAATATATTTTGGTGACACTACATGGACACTCAAAGTGATTTTACTGTTTCAGTTCTTTATTTATTATTCTTGTGGTGTTTTTTTTTTAATAAGGTGCTTAAATTTTGGTTTTGTTATCACCCTCCACCAAAAATGAAGTATCTCATGAAAGTTTTAAAGAAGCTTTCAGAAAGAAGCCCAATCATTAAGTGGACTACAACTGGTTACTTTTTGGCATTGAGCCATTCGATGGCTGCAGATTTCTGAAATGAAAAAAAAAAAAAATAACAAACAAACAGCTAATTCCTTGTTGAGCATGAAAAGGTTAGTAGTTGAAGGTTTCTAATTGGAGTTATTGGAAATCAATAGTAAGGCTGCCCCATGAATTGTCATAAAGTAAATAATTGAGTGTTTTGTATTATTTACAGTGTGTAAAAATGGGAGTCAGTGAGGATTTGTTTACAGTTTCCTTTTTATATAGTCTTGTTTTATTTACCTTTTTTATTGTGTCATTGTTTTAAATTTATCATCATGCTTCAACATCCCAAACTTGTTACATCTCTGAGCTTCTACAGTTTCTTGTACTTCCGGGTTTAAAATTCTCCCAGTTTCATGTGGTCACAGTTACATAATTACTGTGATGACATCCATCCAGCTGGGAATGATGGCTCCTTTTGTCACCATTACTTTTTCATGCCAGTGTGCCCGCCTGAAGTAAAGTTTCATTCAATATTTAGGGAAATATCCCAACTTGCTGAGGATGACAGTCCCTGCTCCTGCTCTTTTCCAGTTTGTTTGTGGGTGAAGGTTTTCAGGTTGTGTTTATGTAGTGCTAGTGTCCTCCCAGGACAACACGACTGTCCGCAGCCCSCAGAGCATCTGAACCAGATGAATAATCCATAAAGTCAGAGGATTTATTTCCACTGTCACTTTACTGTCCAAGTCTGGTGGCATGTAGGTCATCCTGTGTGTTTGGACAACAGCAGATGTTTTTGACACTAATTCTAAGCCGATGATGATGCCAACTGGAWTAATCCTAAAGAGTAACTACAGCAATGCAACAAAAAAAAAGAGTAACGTATAATCCAGAAACTGGCTGGATTAGGAGCTTACACACCCAGAGGGGAAATGAATCCCTGGTTTATTTATTACTCTTCCGATGGACAACAGAACTGCAGAATAATACGGGTTTAAAGATTTTTATTTAATACCACAACATTCAAACTAATTCATCTGCAGTGGTGGGCACAGCTAACTGAAAAGTTAGCTTTGCTAACGCTAAACCACTAACAATGTAAAATAACTTAATGGAAGCTAATGCAAAACAGCTACAAATTAGCAGAAGCTAACTGCCAAGAGAGTTGTCCTGTCCGTGAATGAGCTTTTCCATTAGCGGACCAATTATCTTCCATTAAAGGTTTTGCAAACATTAAGTCCGCTAGCAGCTAATAACAAGTTAACAAAAAAACATGTTTGTTTCAGTCCCACCAGTCCTCGGTTCAAAGACACTCTTCAAATCTGGACCAGATTATTCTACACTAACAAAAGAATATTTAAAAACATATTTGGGGTTTGGGAAAGCTTTG